GGGGGGGGGGGGGGGCAGCGTTCTGGGCTTTAAGATTAAATTCAAAAGCCCTGGTTTACGTCTATTCAAATACCCTGCTGAACCTGCTCCTGCAGAATGAGGACAGCTTTGACGTTACTGCCTGCTTTTATCTGTCTGACTTCCTCACTGCCCTGCTTGCAGCTTTTCTGCACCCGCTGACAGCAATCTGTGGTTTGTGGCCAGTACTAGCTAGTCTCAGAAACGAAAGTTTGAGGCACGCTGGTGATGTGTGCTGACAAGAATGGGAAATATGGGGTGTTGCAGGGATATCTGAATCTCTGGATAGAGGGCTCCAGAGCAGCAGGCTTCCTGCAGACTGGGTTGGTGACTAACAAAACCATAAACCAGGGAGGAACAAACAATGGGAAGTGCCTGTCGGACCAAGGCCAAGCTTAGTGTCTTGCCTGACCGCTTCCGGCCCCGTGCGTAAGGCTTGGCAGCAGAGCAACAAGCCAAGCCTTGCCTGCAGGTGAGCAGGCTCAAGCAGTGCCCTGGGGTTCACTGCAGGAACTCGTCGTACTCTTTGGGGAGCGGGGAGCGCTCACAGGAATCTCTCCTCACTGCCGCGGGTCTGAACGCTTGGACAGGAGAAGGAGCCATCAGAAGAGGTGCCACTGTGGCTCTGGCTCGGCTCTGATGCTGCAATACAGGGACAAAACACGAATGCACCTTGTGGAAGGAGGTGCTGGCTTGTCCAGCAGTGCCCTGGCCAGCTGTGTCTGCGTCCCCCTCGCAACTGCATCAGGTTATGCTGACCACATTCCTCTGCCCTGCCAGCTGCTGCCCGCCCCGTACTGCTGGGGGTCGGGACCTGCCCTCACCCCTCTGCGGGAGGCAGAGCAGAGGCTGCCGAAGGCAGGACACATACCTGCTTGGGTTGATGCCGTTCTGGTCGCTGGTCCCTGGGCTGGGCCTGCTGCCAGTGCAGAGGTTTGTGCAACACACTCTTCAGGTATTTGTAGAGGTTGCTTTTTATGTGCAAGGGGTTATAAGCAACTTCCACTTCCAAGCTGTTCAGGGCACTCTGCTCAGACAGAAGAAAGAACATAGTGGCTATCAGATGTGACAGGTAGAGGCTGTGGGGTTTGCCTGGGTTTTTTTGCTTTTTTAGTGTTGAGGGCTTTTTTTTTTGCAGGTGTGTTACAGACACTCTGTGCCACCCTGCAGTGATGGGAGAAGGGCTCTTGTGGCTGTTACCCACAAGGACCACTCTTAGCTGTGTATAGACTTACTGCAACCAGGTCTTAATGGATTTAAGCATTCCCTTGCAGGATGCTGTCCTGCCCTCCCCATGCCCAGAATCAGCCAACAGGCTGGAGCACCCTTTCTGGGCACTGTCACCCTCTCTGCTTCAGAAGGCCTCTTCCCTCTCCCCCAACAGACAGGTAACACTGCTCCAGAGGACAGGCACTGGCTGTCTGCGAAGAAAGCTGTAGGCTACATTGGCTGCTGGGATGAAGTTTTAGATTGCTCCATCATATTCCATCTGTCACTAGACAGTTCACAGTCGTCTCCTCCTCTGTTCTCTGCTAAAACCTCTAGTGAGGGCTCTGCCCTTCCTGGCGTCACCTGAAGCAAACAGACAACCGAGGAGAAGAACACGTGGATGCACAACAGAAAATGTGGAAGCCTGAATCTACTGGAAGAAACAGGGACACTTTAAAGCCTAAAGCACCTCCCTCTGCAGTCTGAGGAGATCCACGTTCCCCAGCAATGAGGGAGACAGATGCACCTTCAGCAGCAGCTGCGCGTCCTGTGCATAAAGGCTGATCACTTCTCTGATCCCTGCTTGTACAGCTGGGATCCTCTCCACAGAGGTTTGTGCAGGGCTGACAGTGACTTACCTCTACAGGGCCACGTGCTCTCTCAGGGTGTTCAGCAAGGAGAGCAGGGAAGTTCGACGGCAGCAAGAGCTCCCTGGGGGCAACTGCCTTGACAAGTAGAGTGGCAGAGTCCGAAGGGACAATGACATAGTAGGAATGCACCACAATGTTCCAGTTTGGACCAGTGTTCTGTGGCTCACGTTCGGCCAAAAGCATCCACTTCCTTTTCTAAATGGCAAAAGTCAAAACCAACATGAACAATGGGCAACAGCCACTTCCTTCAGCACTTCCAGTGTAGGGGCTGCTGGGTTCAGGAGCAGAGACATTCACACACAACAGAATAAGAACACTATTCTGCATTACGGAAGGATTTACAAGCCTGAGCTGGGCCATGAGATGAAGCTGTAGCTTTTGAAAAATGTTTTCTGGTGCAGGCTAGAGAGATCATAGCAGATGTGCACTGACTATTCCTTTCTAAAGCAATCCCCGCCCCGAGACTGCAGTTCTCACACACTCACCAGAAGACTATGACATAGAGCATGGAAGCTGTGCTGATTTATCTCCAGTTCATCCCAGTCTAGCTGCCAGCAGCTTGTGGGCCTGATGATGAAGGGCAGGCCATACAGTACAGACTCACAGACCCCTTCGGCCTTCAGAGCCCTGCAGGGATACAGCCCGTGTTAGTGAGGCACAGCCAGCAGGACACCAGCTGGGAGCTACCAGGAGGTGACGGGCACACCTGGCTACGGCAGCATCAGCTGCCACACTGCCACAGGCACCTAATGTCTGCATTGCTGTGGCCTCTCACCAGGAAACCCTGCACAAAAGTCCAACTGCAGTAAAAAGAGGCTTTCTTGCCAACTTCCAGATTCCCTTGTATCTGCTTTGACAAGAGCATGCCAAGAAGCAAATCCAATCTTCATGCATTTTGCATACAAAACAGATTGATAATCTGGCCTCTTGGGCAATAACTCACCCAGTCAATTACATCTCTTCCGAAGTGATTTCTACCAGATTGTGGTTATCCTTCACTTAAACTGACATGTGCTGTACTCCGGCACAGAGCCAACACCCCACTGCACACACCACTGCAGACTCTGCAGTGCCTGATGCTGCTGGTCCGTAGCACACCTCTGCTGCACGACAGGGCATTATTAAGTAGCTTCAGTGCTTTGGCTGTGGGCCATTTATGCACAATTACTGAGCACTCTTCAGCTACTAAGGGGGTGAGAATCATTTTAAGAACAACTGTATAGTTCAGAAATTATACACGATTTTTCCTATAAATACACCTCAGAAAAGACACTAGAGCCGTCACTCTTGTGATGCTCTGTGCTTGCCAGCCACAGGCTGCTGACAGGAAAGCAAATAAACTTTTACATGAAGTCACACAGCACTATGAGGCTTTGCTTGTTTTTTTACTACTCGTCAACTAGTTAGCTCAGGCTCTGACATCCAACTAATTGCTGTGGCCTCATTAGACAGTGAGAGAACAGCAGAATTATATATGGAGCAATGGCTGCAATCTACAGAACTTCACACTGGAGGGAAACAACTACTGCATGAGTAACGTGTGGTGTTACACACAAAGTGGTGGTGTCATGTCACGCTGTTTCTGACTCTGCACGTGTGTGAGATGTGCTGGTCCATGACACAAAGAGTTGCGGGAGTTGAGGGAACCTTACATCAGAATTTTGCTCACTGGCACTGAGTCCCCAGCACTTTGTGGTGATGTTATTAGGTCCTAGTTGAAACTGCACAGAAAGAGTGAAGGCTGCTTATTATACCAGCCTTCCAGTTACTAAGCACAAAAGCACATAACAACACTCACTTTACAACACGGAGTTTATACAGCACTGTAGCTGGCCAGGCTGCCATCTGGAAGGGTGAATTAAAATCTGCTGCTCTCATGGTGCCATCAGCTGTCCCAGAAAGCAGAGCTGGGTCGAGCAATCTCTCCTGCAAATCGCACTTCAGGCATACTAGGAGAAGGAGACTGGTTTAGATTGCTCTAAGTGGCAATGTTTAGCACATGCTCAAAGCACTTACAAACACTAAGTTAATGTTTTCTAGCAACAGCAACTATTAAGGGAAGAACACTGCTAAAGCCTGTGGCAAGGCACCAGTCTATCCCCATTTTACACACAGGGGGAATACCACATTCTTGGCACTGTCAGGAAACAGGGACTGGTTGGTAGCCGCGCAGGCACGTTCCAGTTTTGGTGAGGAGCGGCCAGCTGCAGAGGGAGCAGAAGGTCATTTCCCAATGCCAGACATTTCTTGCCAGCTTTTCTGTCTGTGTTTGTGGAGAAGCCCAGCCAACTGATGACACTACTAATTCTGGAATATGGTGATATATAGCTGCATACAATTCCTCTGGCCTTCTACAGATTTCTTGAGTGTGGGAGGTGAAAAACCTGACTGCAGCATAACACGGTTTGCCTTGCTAGCTATAATAAGACAATGCACCAAGTATGAAGCTCAATGTTATGATGAAGGAAAATCCACTTTTAACAAAACATCCTAATTGCCTGTGCTCATTTGGAGACCGTTATGGTAGCTACCGCATAAATAAAAGTCACACCAGGCTTTCTGATCTGCTTGCTGTGGAGCATATCTGCCCCAGAAGTCTCCCCAGAGCCTTCTCCAGCTGAGCCCCCCAACTCTCCCAGCCTGTCCTCACAGGGGGAGCTCCAGCCCCCGAGCATCTTCGTGGCCTCCTCTGGCCCCGCTCAAGCAAGTCCATGTCCTCCTTATACTGGGCCCCCAGAGCTGGACCCAGCACTCCAGGACTCAGTCCTCCACAAAAGCCACCAGCAACCCTCTATGAGCTCTGCTTCCAGCCTGGAACTGGCCTGTGGATCCCCAGAGGAAAAGGAGTGTGCTGCTGCTGTGATGGCGATGGGAAGCTGCCCATGAGCTCCGTGCTGGAGCAGCACAGAGCACCATGGTGGAGAGGGGTTACTGGAACCCCACGTGCAATTCCCACGGCAGCGCAGCAGTGACACTGCAACAACTATGGGAAACACCGATGTGCTGTAGCTGTTGGTGTTTTCAGCGCTCACCCAAGGATGGATTAGGGACTTGGACTTAACAAAGGAAAAAAATTACACATTCCATATAAATTTTCCCATGCATTATAAGTGGCAGCTCCAGCTAGCACATTACCTATTTTAGTGCTAAATCAATAGGTATAACTATAAGCCAAGTCCCTGTGTAAGACAGTCTTTACTCAGTGCAGCTCTGGCACAGACTTCTAGTATCAGATACAAGGACCACAATTTTTAGGGCTATACACCTGAGCCAGAAGGCCCTTGGCTCTCAGTATGTAAGGTCCCTGTTACCTTGAGAAAGTGGCTATAAATTCACATACTCTTCAAGGCACATTTTTGCTGCAGAATGGAAATGGATTGTAGCATCAGCAGCCACAGGACACAGCAGCAATCTGTAACTATACTAAGCAAATGGCCCCTCTCAGCCTGAGACAACAGAAACTCCAGACAGCTTTCAGAGTCACCCAGAGCCCTTCCTTGGGACTCTAAATGCAAGGGACCATGCCCATAGGGCAGGCCTGGGTAATCTTTAAGGCTGTGAGATTTAGGAACTCCCTGCAGAGGGGGAGAGAAAATGAAATACTTGGGGTGGTCCTGGGCGCAGCGGCGTGGCTGAAGCCTCCGGACGGAAGGAGGAGATGGAGGTGTTCCCTCTCTGTGCCATAGTCATGTAGCCACGTTTTAAACAGCACCTCCAGGCTGATGACATTGTCCTCTATGGTTTGCACATCGATGTCCATTCCCAGGATTGCAATGTCTGCAGGAAAAAAACAAGGTGAAAAAGCACAAATATTTTTAGCCACAGAAAATCATGTTCTTTTGCATTTTCCACTATACTATAGCTCCTTAGTCCCCCAAGTGCTTTCACAGAAGTGCTTCAGACGCTGTCACCACGCAAATCACAGCGCAGCACCGTGATGGCACCACAGGCCACACCAACACCCTTCACCAACACAGGGAGTGGACTGGCTACTTACCGTCCTCAGAGGGCTAGCTGTGACTGACACAACCACCCTCTGCTGTGATCACCTCTCAGCACTGGCCTCAGAGACTCTTCTCACAACTGTAAAGCATCTCCCTCCTTTCCAGGGGACATGGGATATGAAATGCTATGCTAACGAGAATTTTGTAGTAGTGATGGAAAAGTACTACTCCTCATACAGAAGACAAAGGTCACTTTGCAACATGGCCACAGGACTACATTGCTAAACATCCTCAGTGTGTGTTTGAAGGAGCAGCTACGCACAGACCTGGGAAGAACAGAAGCAAAACCTGACCTGGCCCTGACCAGCACAGGACGTTTCAACATGTGACGGCTGAAGTGCTGTTTGGCAGCACAACAACCCCACAGCACAACAACCCCACAGCACAACAACCCCACAGCACAACCCCACAGTTCAACAACCCCGCAGCACAACATCCCTGCAAATACAACAGTAGTCAAAACTATCCAGCACTGTTACATCTGTGTTCAAAGAAGCAAAATGCATAAAATTTAGAGACTTGTTAAAAAGAAACTAAAAGGAGAAACTAAAAATATTTGCAAGAACACAGCAAATATTTAAGCTACCATGTTGGAGGTGCAAAGCAAATGTATATGATCTAGGAACAACATTCAGGAATGCAGAAATGTACGCCTGACAGCAGAGTTAGGGAGGCCATAAACAAGATTAAACCCTTGCAAAAAAACCAAAACCCCAAAAGCCCCCAAATAGTAACTCAGAGGTGAATCCAAATGAGATCCTAGCATTAAGTCTTACAGATTAAATAAATAAATAAATAGGTATTTGGTGAACAGTCTGTGAAATGCGTAAGACGTGTAATACACCCATTTGTAAACACAGAAGGAACAAACAGCCTGGCAGTGTTAACAGGGTCCCCGCACAGCTAGGATGTGAAACAGGTATTCTGTGAAGAGGAACACATAGCAGAAATGGCCTTCTTTTCCCCAATGTGTTTATCAGGCCAGATGGGGACGGAAATACAGTGCTACATCCATCTGCAATGAGACATCTTTTCTTTACGTGTTAGTATTTATAGGTTGCAAAAATGACACGATACATATGCTCCCACATTTTAAAAAAAGAGAAATGAATTAATCTCCCTTTACATGGCAAACAATCTAGGGCTAAGGTAATGACTGCAATCCTTGAAACAGTCTGCAACTTGCAAATGTGCTTTCTGTAGTACGGCCATCGCAGCGGGACATGCGTCCCAGCCATCTCCAGCCTCGACAAAGGCCTCGAGCTCATGCAGGCTGTGCCTCTGCAGCAAAGGAAAATCAACTCCCACCCACGACGGGAGGTCCTTCACGCTGTCCTTGCCGTGGAAAGCCTCTCCTGCTCAACGTCCAGTCTGACCCGTTGCTTGCCCTGAGGCTCAGTCTCGCTCTTATTTCCCCGACGGCTGCTCTGATGCACCTACAGAGCGTGCTGGTTGTTCCAGCTGGGACGCACTCCCTGCCTCTCTTCAGACTGTGGTTTTCCTCTGGGATATGCGCTGAAGATGGCATTAAGGGTTCAGAAGATAAATGCATGTCACTTACTTTGACACACAGTTTATACACAGGCGACAAGGGGAAGTACCTGTGTTTTGAGAGAGTGTCTTGGGGCTGGTAAATGTTTTAGTCCTTTCCTCAGTAAGTATTTTCCTATTTGTTTATTCTCTGTTCTGCATGATGTGTAGCCACTTACACATTGTAAGTTTGCACAGTATGTGACAACTTTAAAAAGAAATTCAGTGCCTGCGTTGCTGTCCATTCCTAGGAAGCAGAGGTTGGGGTGCTGACATCTACTGTGCCATGGGTCTTAAAATTCCCGGAGAGCAGATAGGCAGAGCCATTTAGTGGTCAGCAATCTGAGCACACATACAGAAAAAGGTTCCCTGGGACTTGCAGAAGATGGATTATGTTCATAATAAATGTATTAGTGCTTCATCTTTAGTGCTTGTTTTTTGTTTCCCCAAAACAGAAACAGATAGGGCCAGTGTTTATATCACATACAAATATCAACGTTCATCAGCAAATGGCTTGGTGATGCTCAGGTGCTTTAAGTGTTTGCAATGGGGTAGGGGCAAGAAAGAGAGAATAAAAATTCTCACATTATCAACCAGAGGACAGTCCACTGCATCCTACCTGTTACTCCCACACACTATTCCCACCACCAATGCCATGTGCACTGTGCTCTTTATGGGATTTTTATTATAGCACAATCCTGTTCCAGTCTGCAAATCCCTGATGTTTCACCACTAAAGAAACTTTGCAGATTTAGTCTCTGTCCCACAGAGGAGCTGGTTTGCAGCTTTGAAAAAACAATCCTTGTTGCTCATCACATGGTCTTCGTCTAGAAATGCACTCTCCCACAGAGGCTGCTCTTGTGAAGAAAACAGCAAGCATTTTCCACCCATGACAGGCTGTTCTTAGCACCTTCAGAGCTATTCTGAGACTTGCCATCTGCAGGGCTTCCAAATACCGGAGTCTTTTCTAGCTGCATTAACCTGAAATGAGAGGGGATCTTGATCCTGCCTTCCTTCTCTCAGTAGCATGGGAAACTGTAACTGTATGTTGGTTTTGGTTTTTCCCCCCAGCAATGGTAAACGAGAGAGGACATTTTCTGGGTGAGCTGAAATATTAGGTTCTTTCTCAGGATGCAGATTTTGTATCTCCACATCTTCTTGGGTTTGGAAGAAGCCATTTGCAGTCTAGTACTACGTGACAGTACAGTAGCACAGATCAGGTTCATTATCAGCCCAGCAGGAGCCCTGGCAGCGGCTGGGGATCCCACTGCAGCAGCTGCAGGACGAGCAAGGCAGTGAGATGCTCTGAGCCTGGATGGCCCTGCAGTCCCAAAGCAGACTCAAAAGAAGGAAGCAGGGCAATATACTCCATAGGAGTCTAAGGAGAAAACGCAAGCTTCTCACTAAACTGTCCATAAGAGTGTCTTGAAATCACGGAATACAAGTCCATTTGATCTGGCAAGATAATCAAGTGATGCGTCCCACTGAAACCCTGAGCCGTGTCGCAGCTGCCACCTCCCTCACAGCTGAACCTCCCGTTTCTGTCTGTGCCTTTCCTGGAGCAAGTGTTTGTCTGCAACACGACACTCGGCAGCATGTTCAACACTACACATACCTTCTTCTTGCATAAATGGAGACTTCCAGCCTTGACCAGGTATTTAACAAGCCCAGTTTAACAAGACTGTTTCTGTCTCTCTAGCATCTGCCAAAGAGAACTGCTTCAGAGACAGTGAACAACGCACAAATGTGCCCCAGACCCTGTGTTTTCCTCACGTTCATTAATTAGAATTTGTCTTATGTCCTTAAATTTCACTTCCAAAGTTCTTTAGAGGGTTGGGGCAGGAGGAGGGAGGAAAACTAAGTATTTAATTCCGATAGCTGTATCTCAATATAGGTTTGTTACTTACATAAATGGTCTGCAGACCTACAGCATTTCTTCCAAGACAAAAAGAGATGAGAGACCCTATAACATAGATCTGCAAGTTAAGTGAAAACAGGCTCACTTTTTCTTTTCCCAGGGTAGTGTGATCACTTTCCTGATATCGAACAGTTTTGATGGAGCAGCGGAATTGAGGTGAGGGATTTAGGACTGTTTCTTTCAATAACAATGGCTTATACAGTACACAAAATCACAATTTTTGTTTTCTTGGAAATTTTAGCAACTTCTTTCATCCCAGTATGCCCTGAATACCAAGTCATAATTGGTAACCAAGTCTCAGCACTTCCAAACATCCTTTTGTCTAAAAAAGAAAAGAATAACCAAACTTGCATTTATTCCAGTGACCTTCTAAACAGAGGATCACAGAAGGTCTAAACATAAACATGATTTATAAACATAGTTCCCAGCTCCTTAATTCTTAATTTAACTGTTTTCCTGTGGTATGGCTTTTATATATAGGTATCTATGTCCAATAATCTCAGTTTTGTTATCAAATTCTTAAAACAACAACTGTGTTGTAAGTGTCAGAGAGCGTGGGATTGTTTTTCCCTATCGCACCATGACAGTAGTTCTCAAGCAATACAACATCTCTTGCTGTATTTGCTGAAACAATTTTGTTAGCTGCTGCAAGTGTCTTCAGCGAAGCAGATTCTCTAGTAAATGTTTTCAGTTCATGATGTAAGCTGTTATGATACTTCTTCCACTTTGAAAGCAAGTTTTTGTGATGCTTTTCAAAGTGTTAAGAGAAGTATGCTGTGCTATTAAAATGTATTAAAGGCAAAGCTTTGTTTCCTAGTCAAACACTCCATGCTTCAGCATCAGCTGTTCTTGGAAATCCACATCCTGCATGGGACTGCCAGGAAGTTTATTCTTTTTTCTGCCTTTTCGAAACAGGTTTAGTCTGTGCCATTTTGAAGGTCACTAAATTAATAGAGTTTGGTTTAAATACACATGATGTTCACCGCTACCTAACTCACACTGTAAACATTTTTGCAAACTACTTAAAATCTCACTTTGGTGTCACCTTAAATAGAGTAACCACACCCAGTGGAAGAAATTACCGGCTTGGTTTTGAGGTTTGGAGAGGGTAAAACGCAGCACCACTGTTGCATGCAGAACTGTCTGCCTGCCCTGATGTTGCATCTGAGTACTTACCTGTTACTTCCTTTGAGGGAATCTGCTAGTAACAAAACTTGGGTCCTCGGGTGAAAAGAAAAATAAATTCTGGTAATAATCAAGAGCTACAGGTCTTCATTGTGAGAGTCAGCCCACATTTCTATGGGTTCCAAACTTGGCATTTGTGCTAATGGGTGGCTGTTGCTGGTCTGTAACAGACTTCTCCACCTTAAAACTAGGTATCTTTCTAAAGGTTCTGGATTGTCCAGAAACCGTGAGCTTGATTCAGAAATCTAATACAGCTGTACCCCCATGTTATGAAGGGAACAAAATTAGGTCGTATTCTAGAAGTCAGTTAGTATTTAAAAGACAGAACAAAAGTTCCTTTACTCCTGTTGTATAATGGTCAAGAGAGTTATCTCCCAGAGGAAATCTGACCTGCATGCAAGTTAACTGGGAAAGAAAGGTGAAACACCAGGCAGACTGTTCTGGTCTGTTCTACTCAGGTCCAGGTCAGTCATCCACCCGTGGATGGGTAACGCCAGGAAAACAACATCTGCCTGTTCTCCTTGAAATCAGGAGTCATGGATATTAAGTCAGGAGAGGACTAAAACCTTGATTTTAAGCATGTTTTAACAGAAGCTTCTGGAGAAGCAGAATGTTGGGCTTAGGGAATAACATGCAAGGATTACTGCCGTGAATGTCAGAAGTCAGATACGGCAGCGTTCAGCCCCCCCCCCCTTCACACCCAAGAAATATCCATACAAGAGCAAGGGGAGAGATCCAGCAACAGCTGCCCCCTGTTAACCATCCTGCCTGGCAGGAATGTTGTTTTGGAAGTAATACCCAGAATGGCTGGATAAAAAGTCAATGTGTGATTTGGTCAAGTGTCTTGAATGGGAGAGCTTCCTGATTCGGGGACCAGATTTAAACCATCCCTTTTGAAACTCTGGGACAGAATGATGAAAGAACTTTGAGGAAGATTTGCTAGCAGGACACTGCTAACTGATCCATACAAGGCAGATGGGAGGTCCAGCAGCCGGAATAGCACAAAGAGACAGAAGCCTACAACGGTACAAAGACTCTTCGTGAAACCCACTCAGAAAATATTTCCACTCTCATTGGTACACATGGAGGCTCTTAACTGTTAAGACCTCAGAAACACGATGATGGGGCCAACCAAGAAAAGAGCTCAAACTCTAGCAATCTAACAGTAAAGCCCGTGAGAATGTCAGAAGAGATTTTGAGAGCAATTTACCAAAGACATTACAAGTAGGTTATATTTTTTCAGGCTAATCAGATTCACATTTTAAGATCTCTGAGCTCTGTGGTAGAGCTATATAAAACAATCACAGAAAAAAAAAATTGGAAACTGTCAATTGCTTCCAATAAGCTGAGATGGAGAGGGCACAAAATGAATTTCTCAGGCAGAGGATTTAAGAAGAGATGATTTTTCAATGTGCTACAAATATAAATGCAGGAAGCAATGTCACAGCAACGCTCTGGATATTAAAAATGTAAGTAGGTTCAAGCAGCCACTAAACGAACCAATGGAAGAAACATCCACAGTGAGATGAACCTAATGATTAAGTGCTACATCACAACGTTTATTTTGTAGTGGGAGATGTGCTGCAGTTGAACACAGCATTAATTCCTGCACTTCCTGCATGCTAGATCTTGCAACTACAATGTTCTTTACTGTTTTTTTTGGTTTTGTTTGTTTTTTTTTTTAATTTAGAATCAGAGGAAAGGAGCTCCAGCAGGTAAAAAATCTTCTTCATAAATCAGTTGGGTTCCTTTTTCAAACTATTTGGACTAGCCATTCCCTGGTGCTCCTCTTAGAAACTAAATACATCATCTGAGTCTTTATAGAAGATTCAGAAAATCAGAATTTCATCATCTGAAATTTCAGTGGCCTCTGTGTCCCCACGGATGTTTTCATGCCATTTATTGGGTGAAAGGGCTACACAATTTCACTTTGAAAAGCAACGTGGTGGGGTTTTGCATGCTCTGAAGCATGTGTGACCAAGAGGCACACAGCATCTCCTGTTCTGTGGTGTCTAGTTTTCCAAGGCTTCCCCGCAGGGTTCTGTGCAGCACCAGCTTGATGCAAAGTCCTGACAATGATCCTCCTCAACTGAGAAGCAGCATTCGCAGCCACACAAAATAGTGCCCTCTTCCTGTACAGCCAGGATTGGTGCTTTTAAGGGATTCCTCAGCCTCGGAGCTCTAGGCAACAGTTCTTCCCACAATTTTGTAACTTGTGGGTTTGGTGCAGTTTTGGCATATTGTATTAATTCTGAAGTAACATCAGAGTGACAGAACCTTGGTTCTCTACCGTAGGACTCGCTGCTCACAGTGTCAGAGGTCAGGGTGCTGCTCAGAGAGGGCGCTCCCTTTCTCCAGCCAAGCAGTTTTACTCGCCCGGAGGCCTCTGTTTTCACAGGCAGCACCCACAACAACCAGCTGCTCTCACTGAGGGAGACTGACCCTTCAGGGCAGGAAGCTTTTAACGGGCAGTAAGAGGGCTGATACACGTCTAAGTGCTTAATCATAAAACTCAGCGTTTGAGTCTGCCACCAGATGAGTGGGATGCAGCGGGGAGAGCACCCACCTGTCTGTAGCAGGAGGCACCTAGTCAGTGCTGTGCTGCAGGTGGGGGAAAACCAGCGTCAACTCCTGCTGTGTAGCAGTCTTTTTATCAGCCTCGAGAAAGAGCAGAAATAACTAGGCAGATCTGAAAGTCAGGTAAAATGAAATACAGAAAAGAAAGCTGCAGTTATAGCAGGATGGCAATATACAGGCTGCTGCCATCAAACTGCTGTGGTTTTGGACTTCTGGTGACCAGCTGGCTGGTTTATTTAGAGTCTGCTCAGCACCTTTTGCTTTGAAACAAAAAGGCTCAAAACAGGAACTAACAGGAATTTCTGTGTCTGAATTTCTCATTACCATAGCTTAGATTCTTACTGTTAAAAATGTCAGATTAAGGGAGGAGTTCTTCAGAGATATGGCCAGGAAAAATAAAATCCAGGGTCTGGGGTGTACTCGCTCTTTCACTAATGAAGCATGTGGCCAGGTGTGTGAGGGGTAGGGCAAAAAGGCATCTGCAATCTGCCTAAACATTCCCAGACCCTACTCTGCCAACGGACCAGAAAAGAACAGCTAAGGACAGATAAGGCAATAATGTCCAGCGTTGCCTGTCACTCAGTAAAACCAACATTGCCGTTGCTAGTAACAGGTCCTACACTAACTTTGCAAGGCATCAGGACCGAGGATTTTAAGCTTGTTATCAACCCATTGTGAAAACTTGCTGTATGAACCACAGCTTGGTACCAGGTGCTTCATGTTGAAGGGAAATTTAAGTGTCAGCTGTAAAGGCTTTTAAAATGAAGACCTGGATGGGAAAAGAGAGGCTGCAGGGATATAAAGAACTCACTGATGGGCAAGTACTGGCTACTGAAAAAGTACAACCTTAAGAGCTCAAGAAAAACTGCCCTAAACACAGAGAAGAGAAGCAGCAGTAAAGCAAGAACAGTATCAGTGACAAAAACCACCTGATCAACAGGGTAAGTACCTACCTGCCTTGGTCGGGGAAAGCAACTCTTCCCAGCATTGTGCAATATGTAGGCTGGGGGAAGGGACTAAAGGCTGAGAGTTGTCTAGAAACAAAGCATCTTGTAAAAAGACAAGATCTTGAGTTGGTGAGAGGGAGGAGAGGGTTCTCTCTATAGCATTATGGAGGCTGTACACAGGCTGTCTACTTCTCTTTCCCTCTCCTCTGCCAACAACCTGGGATTCTGGTTGCCTCTGCTTGCACCAAGGACCTTTAGATCAGTTGCCCGGGGTGATGTTTAGCAGTATATGTGTGTCTGAGACTGTGTTACCCCCCACAAACTCGATGCCTTTTTCTCTTGAAACCATCAGTAAAGCTGTATTGCACATGAAGTCAGTTTTAGATAATACATAGAGTCTGTATGCCAATTTTGCCCAAACACGATAAAGCCCCAGAGAAGTGCTCTGGTACAAACCTCTTGCTGTTCCTCCAGGGACAGTAGTTGCTGCTTACATGACTGATGCTCAATGGCATGAAGTGGTGTATACTGGACTAGTGGTTGTGCTGCTGTCCACAGCCACAACCTCCCTGACTCCCTGTCTGTCTCGTACTCACCTGTGCTGCTGGGCTCTTCTGCTGGCATGCACTGTTCCACATCCTCAGGCTCTAGAAAGTCTCTCTTCAGAACCTCAATGACTTGTATTCTTCGCAGACTCACAAGGTCTACGTCTTTTAACTTATTTTCCAGCTGCTTTGCCATTTCTTTGCTGGACTGGCTAGTCAAAATTGTGATCTGAAACACAAATCCAGAGTGCAAGAGCTGTCTCCACCCTAATCCTCTCTTGATAGCCTGGTCTGTTTGAATAGCACAGGTCCCACCACAGACAAAGGATTTTGCTAAAATATCTAACCAAAAGTGGATTTAAAAGCATCTGTTTGAGCTTTAGCTTATATTTCAGTCAATATGAAATGGATTGAGAGGTTCACTGTAGGAACACCAACAGATTTTGTGTCACTGCTGGAAGAAGATGGAACAATTCACAACTTGTATTCTGCACCTTACACTTGGGGTCAGTGAGCCTGTGTGTGTATAGGAGGGATTCCACCTGAGACCCTCAGAGGGATAGCACCACTTCCCATTGAATTAATTATTAATTAATTCCCATGAATTACAGTCAGGTAGACTAAATTTGGCTTTCTCACTTGAGGCTGAATGGGAATTTTTTTTTTTAAGAAGCATGTAGTCTATCCTGAAGATGTTTGAGAGCAACAGTAGGTTTGATTCCCACCTCCTGGTTTTGATGTAATACTGTGTAAGTGACTGCAGAGAGTTTATTCATCACTGCCAATCAGCAGCAGTTTCTAAAAACGTCAGGCATGTTTGACACCAGCTTCTACCCTGAAACAGTAATTAGGGGAGAAAGTTTCAAGTTCTGACCCTGCTGATATTTAGTGATGGTGAAGTACTGAGTCATCTCAGATCTGCTCATTGCTCCAAAGAACTAATTAATAACCCTAAATAAAGGGTAAGGTGTATTTTAGGTTAAGACTGCTGACAAATGTCCTGTAGGGAGCATCTGGGGAAACTTAACAGTAGACCTTCACAAATGAGTTCTACAGAGACATTAAACAATGACAACAGAAGTGACAGTTCAAGGGTTAGGGATTTTGCGGGGAGAGAGTGCAGGTGCAGGCAGTATGCCTTCTCCATCCACATCTATCCTTAGTGCTTATCTAGGAGATATTGGGAATGAAGTAGTCATTATGATTTCCTTTATGAACTGACAAAAGTAGATAACAGGAACTGGTTTTGAGTTGGGAGAAGCAGAACCATCTAAAGATAGGATTAGGTGTTTATACAGCTATAGATAGAGCACTGCCTACACTGGTACACCTTGATTTCAAGGAAACCTTTAGGTTATGTGATGGAAGCTCCTCTGCACACCCACAAAGCAGAACAGACATAGGGACAGGCAGAAGAGCCAAATAATGCCATGTCCTGGCTATGCCCTCAGCCCACCAGAAGCCCACTTCCTCAAGCCTAAAGGAGCACAGGGGCACAGTGCCAGCCCAGGAAACCAAATCAGGGGCTTGGAGGAAGGGACACCCTCCGGGAGCCGGGGCTGGACTGTCCCCGGGGAGCCCTTGTCCAGGTGTCAAACACATTAAAATGAGTCAAACCCTGAGCACTGAGAGGGGGTTGCTGCCTGAAGGTGAGGGACACGTTTTGGGATGCAGAGGAAGAGACGTTTGGGATTGCACAAGGCTTGTGATGGGATGTTTAGGGGAGGAACCAAAAGTGGGCGAAGGGATGGAGCTCAGTGATCTGAGAAGGAACAAGTGTGGGGAAACAGAGGGGTAAGGGGATAAAAAGAGCTGGTCAGTATGTTTGCCTGGCCAGACCCTGCCCTGATCACCCCAGTGTGTCCCAAATCCCTTCCTGGCCCTCTCCTGTGGGGGGGGGGTCTCAGTGCAGCAGCTGGAGCCACACCACGGGCTGGAGGCCCCCATGTGTCTGTGGTGCAGCCCCTGGAACGAGTGAGTGTGTGACTGCTAGTGAAGATCAGAGGGGCCAGCTGGTGAGTAGGTGAAACAGCCTGAGAGTGAGGGGGTCTGTAAGGGTGAGACCACAGGGGGAGTCCTGGCCAGCCCTGTCTGTGTGTCTGTGCACGTGATGGGCTGCACCAGAAACTGGAATGGGGCTGCAGCCTTGGGGACTCCTATGTCCAGATGCCAGCAACTGGGGGGGCTGGGATCCATCAGCAGCTACTGGGCAGGCTGTGTGTGTGGGCCCAGGTGCTGCAGGGACCCTCACTGTATGTACAGAGAAAGGTGTGTGCGCACGTATACATCTATAAGTGTTCCTGCTAGGGGATCTCCACCCCGCTCGAGCAGAGGGGAGCAGGCTGAGGCCACTGCTGCAGTCTGTGTTTGTGGGAGTGCTCTGAGTGTCTGACCATCCATGAACATGTGTGTTACAGACGTGCTCTGTGTGAGCCTGCCCCTGGAACACCGCCTCAGCCTCACCACTGGTTGGGGCTGGGGGCACGAAGCTGCAGCAGCCTTGCTGATGTCAGGTCAAGCCCAATTTCCTTAACAAAGTATATCTCTCTGAATGAACTCATGCCTAGTGCTTGCCTCCAAGTTACTGTGAATGAAGAAATTATTAAGGGTTCCTTTTAGGAACTAATGAAAATGAACAGGGACTGTTGGTGAGCTGGGGGTAGCTGAACTGTCCAAGATGTAATTATCTTTTGCAGAGCTACAAACAGAGCATTTGCTACTGATGCACCTTTATTTCATTAAAACCATGGCTGCACTGCATCTGTAGCCTATCACCTTCAATTTACCCTTTCACAACCTGAGTCACACCAGCACATGCTGGTTAGAGACCAGCAGAAATATTTTGCTACATACAAAAACTGAGGTAGCTACAGTGACTTCCCTTCACATTACCACAGTTTCTAGATATAATCCCTTAATACCATTATACTTCCTAATCTGACAAAAAATGGGCTACTTGTGACTTGAAAAATGCTCTCCATGCTATTGCAGATTGGCCACATTTCTTGCCCTGTAGCTGCTGCTGAGACTTAGCTTTGCTGATGCTAGTGGTTATTCCCCTCTGAAATCTGGATCTCAAAACAGTAAGGATTTATCAATACTTTTAACAAATATTTGGGTTTTAAACAATTGCAGGTTGTAACAAAAGTCTCTCTCCTATGCTTACTGGTCAGCTAAGAATAATCTTGCCTCTGTGCAGTTTAACTGTTAGAAAAATGCGCATTTGCCTAAAGAGTAGATCTGATTTGCACAATTAATTTTCTAGTGGGACTCTTGTACTATAAATACACTAAAGACACTGTACTTGACATAACTGTCACACCTCCTTAAGGGCTTGTGTTTCTGCTAGCTCATACACAAGCATACTTCATCAGCTTCCGAGATACCCTGTTTCTTCATCCTACTGCTGTTCACAGTCCTGTCCTGTCCCTCCTGCCTCTTTCCACTGAGCAGCAGGTGTGTGCCCAGCTGCCTGCAGTGAAAAAAAAAAAAAAAAAAAAAAAAGGCACTACTTTCAGAAGCTTCACAAAACAGAGATGGTAACCCTGCAGAGATGAGCCAGTGCAGCTCTGTGACAGGTCTGGTCTCCTGCTGGACGCCTTGTCTCCTGGCCCAGCTGTGCACACTCCTCTAACACCTTCCTTCTGCTGCAGCATTTCACAGATACTGAGCTTGATTGTTCCCAGTTACTTACTCCTCAGTGGTTTACTGACTGTAATTATGTGCCTGTAGTTTGCTGTTCCAGGCAGCACCATGGGCTACTTTACCTCAGTAACAGGACACTGAGATGGCAGTTTGGCAATCGGGCACTGATGCACGAAAATAACATACGAAACATTAAATTCGGATAAATAACAAACACTTCAGATAAGTCTTATGTTAAATTTTAACTGTAAAATACTGGAATCAACTGATTTACAAGGGCACTTAACTAAGACATGAAGCTCTTGAAACAGAAGGAAGAAACTGTACTGGTAAAACCTGACCTTCATCCCATCGGAAAAGCAGATGGGACTAGAGTGTTTCAAAAATTTGATAAAGTAGGGCTTAACGTCTCTTGTCCATACCTTATAGTTCAATGCAGAAACACTTCTCCTAGTATGTTTTCTAATCAGAGAATAGTTTGAGTTGGAAGGGACCTTAATCTAGTTCAATTCCCCTGCAATGATCAGGGCCAGGCTGCTCATCCCTGTCCGACCTGACCCGAACGTTTCCAGGGACGGGACATCTGCCACTCTGGGCAGCCTGTGCCAGTGCTGCACTAGTGCTCTAAAGTATCGCGGAAACAGAACTGCTGCTTCTCTTCACAGTGGGCTGAACAGCAAATGCTTGTGGGAGATGTTACATGATTACCACACGTGGTCTACCTGATACAGTTGAATTTAACAGGGTAAATGCCTTCTTTAACTGGTTTAAGTTATCCAGGCTTCACTTCAAGAAGGTTTGTTTGGTTTTTTTTTTTTTCTTTAAAAGATAATGTATCTGAGAAAAAACATTCAAATGCCTTCTGAGGAAAGGAAACACAAATAAAAATCCAACTTACTCTGCATAAAAAAAAATGCTTATGAGGAAAATAAAATGTCAGTCACTGAAGTATCTGAAGCAGAAAGCTGCCTTTTTTAGAAACATGACCTTTTGTAAGGGTGAAACACCCTTCTGCCTTTCTGTGATCACCTGCTTTTGTCAGCAAAGACCTGAGAATTGCAGGTGCTCTCCTGCTTGCTTCCTGGCACCTTAGTGGTCTGATGGTGTTTATTCACCCTACATGCAAGAACAAGGCCACACATTAGGTCCCATCTAGGCCTGTGAAACGCCTTTTGTTTGGATTTGCAGAAGACTGAATTTCACCCCCAGGTTACACTTAGGAAGCCTGAAGAACGGGAAGAATTGCTAGCTTGGAGAGGAGTCCTTTGTCCCTGAAATTCTCCACAGAAGGAAACTTTGAGCTAAAGTTTACTCAAGACGGGCGAGTATGAGGTGTTGACTTCTGGACCCCCTCAGAACCCTCTCCAGTACCTGTACTAAAATCGTGTACTATAAACTTCAGATCTCTACGTTCTTCGAATTCTCTCTCTAGTTTTATTTTGCATATTTGTCAAATGAAATAGGATCACTAAACTGTATCTACTAGTAAAGCCACAGAACTATTCTCATTTTTTCCCCCTTTGGTTTATAAGGCATGCACTCTTGGATGAAACACTTGAAGCCTGTCACAAACAGCTCAGAGGGAAATAAGGCAGCAGAAATGGGGAATGAAATAGAGTTAGCATGGAGAAACTTGGAGGGAAGGTTAGAACTGGCAAGCGTGACTGATGTCTGAGGTATCTGCTGTTGTACGGAAACCAGGAAAATTCAAAGTCTCCAGCGTGGACATTATTTTGGATGTGGTGAAGGGAGGGGATTGTATGTTCAGTGAGAGGCTCCTAAGGAGCTTCTCCCTCCCGTTCCAGCAGACCCTCTGCAAGGGTTCTCTGATACTGTGTGAGGTATTTTCTGGCAGAGATTCTCTATGCAGCAATTTAAATACAGCTTGCTGCATGAAGCTTCTGAGAATGGCTACATCTCCTGGGTCATATACAGTTCTTGTCCTCCCTAAGAAATCTTTCAAGTTAGAATCCAGGCAGGTTTGAGTGGGTTTTTGTTTGCTTGTTGTTTGAGTGTTGTGGTTTTGCTGTTCTTTGGGGGTTTTAATACAAAAATCGACAACATCATTCTCTGGTTTGGGTATACTGGAATTAATCCTACAAATGTTGATCAGACTGCTGTTCCAGCTAGGCATGACAGCCAGCTCTTCATCTGCTTGGACTGCCCTGAGCATTTTCACAAAGAGTCTCCCCTAGGGTTGTCTTTAGATGGGACTGAGTATAACACATCCAGCACCTCTGCAGGGCCAACAGTAGTGTAACAAACCATGTGAACTCACCATTGTCTGGTACCAGGAAGAAAAACATTTGGTTTCTATCAAAATTATCAACAAAGTGTATGTGGTTGGATTAATTCCAGTGGAGGACACCCAATTTACCAGGCTGATCCAAGTGTACAAGAGCAAATGCAAGCTGGTAAACTGTCAGAAAAGGAGGAATTAGTGTTGCATCTATGCTCACTGTTCCTATGAGACAATGAAAGTAGATTGTAAAAAATGGTGATCAATGCTTCCAAACAAGCCTGTCATTGCAGCAGGTGTCTTGCATCCCCTTGTAGCCTGTACAAATGTTTCCCATCAAGTACAAGGACATGTAGGATGTGTCAGGTCAGTCTGTTCTTCAAAGTGCCAGCAATGATTTAGTAAGGAGCTTCTAATCAGGAGCTACTGTCCTTGGAGAACCACCACATCCTGAAATATGGAAGCTCATCAAAATTGTTTACTGTAAATCAGCTTAATTAGAGATTAGAGTGTCCTTTGGAGGCACCATCCCCATTTTAATAGCAAAAATCACACCCACTGTTCTGATGCTCCCTGCCCAAATAAAGGCCCTCACCTTTGGAGCTTGTGCAGAAAAATTAAAACTGAGACGAGGCATGCTGTTAACCAGCGAGGGATAGCGTGGTAAGCAACTAACCAATGGTCATCACAGCAAACGTGTGTTGCTGTAGTCTGAAGTGGATGCGAGCCCTTCCGCGTGGTGTGGTCGCCTTGGGGAAGCGCCCCTCTCTGCACAGAGAAGCGATGGATGGGTGTCTCGGCCCTGGGGCTGAGACTGGCCTCCGGGCGCCCAGCCCTGCTTGAGAGGCAGTTTTGATGACCTGGAAGGGACAGGACGTGTCGACAGCCTGGCCCCGCCGCCTTGCTGTGCCCACGTGTCGACAGCCTGGCCCCGCCGCCTCGCTGTGCCCGCGGGAGCAGCGCCCCAAGCAGCCTCCAGTGGGCTCCGGCCCTGTGGTCTCCCGCGGGGGGCAGCGGTGCTATGCCTGCGAGATGGGATGGATACTGGGGCGCAGGCGAGGATCCCCGAGTAGGAACGCTTATCTTGGACTGATGGCTCTGCACAAGTCCTTCCATCAGCTCATCTCCTTCTCCAGGCAGGCGCGGGGACTGAGCAGCAGAGGGCTCCCCTCCCACAAAGCTGAGCACATGAAGTTGAAGAAATTCTTCCTAGGAAGTAATTTCAGAATGGTTCAGTTTCCTCCACCAAGATACCCCCTTGCATCCCTTTGGGATGCATCCTGAAACGCTGGAATAAAATTGGACGGGATCGCCTGACAAAAGGAAAATCACTAAGATATTGTGGACAGTGGTGACCCATGTACAAGCCTGACCATGGCAAAAGGTGGCCGGAGGACGGGACCTTGAAGTATAATACTGTTTTACAACTGATGCTGTTCTGTAGCAGGATGGGTAAGTGGGATGAAGTACCAGATGTTTCATGTTGCAGAATAATCATGAAATAAGGGAAAAATGTGAATTGTTACATAATGATCCCAGTGGTCTAAGGTCATTATGTAGCTGAAAGTAGGCAAGGAAAGAAAAAGCAGCGGTGTTGCTCAGCATGTGATGTAGGGAAAGGGTGTGTTAAAGGACCAGAGGGGCCAGATGATGTACAGCAGTTGGTATCAGGGGTCAGGAAAGATGAACCAGTGAGTGAAAGCAGTAGTGAGGAAAAAGGGATCTTCCCAGAAGGAAGGGAGAGAGACTCTTAGTCCAGTCTCATGAAGGACTAGAGGAATGAAAAGTATAATTTGCAGAACAAGGATCACTTAGTGGAGTATAAGCTCTCTATATTCATGGATAATTGTGAATGTAGCTATCTCATTCCTTCAACTATACTAGAAGATGTCCTGGATTTTGTTGTGTGTCAAAAAAGATCTTATTTCTAAGTGTGCTCCATCTGTTCCAACTCCTGGCTTTACAGTTTAAGCACACATCACATTTGAAACGGTCAGGAAAAATGCTTCAAGGCCCTCAGAAAACACAGGGGAGTAGTAAATCAGGAGAAAGGCTTCCTGGATAGACACTAGACGTGAGCCCTAATTACAGCTGGGAGAGCCTGCCTAATCACAGCATGACTCTGGAAGGGTTTAAGGATCTAAAGTAGAAGGACTGGGGAAATTTCACTCATGAGAGTCTGAACTCCTTTTTAGGCCTGACAAAGCTCCAAAACCAGGTGGACCCTGAGCCTATGAAGTCTGAAATGAAAGACAGTTTGGAGCTGACGTTTCCTCATGGCCAGAAGGTAACGTGACTGCTGAGTACTTGTCCTCTTGGTAAGTGCCTGTCCTTTCACATCAGTTGATACTACTTCTAAAAAAGCACTTATTCCTGTGAACCTTGCTCTGCTTCCTATATTTGCACATATGTTCTCATGTGTTGTTAGCAGCTTCCCTCCCACTTAGGCAAGCATACGTACCCAGCTGAGAAGACAGTCACTACCATGCACCAAAATCCATTAGATCCTGTCTCAGGACTGATGTACATATAGTTTTCCCCAGATATGACCCCTTTTCTCCTGGAATATGCCCAGAGGGATCTGAGGACTTGATATATTCATGCAGGATTTCTGGACATTAGATCTCTGAGATAGCTAGATTGCGGAATACCTAAAATTTTCTGACACGTTCACTGTAAATAGGGTCACGTCAGAGCTGCTGCTCAAGCTAAGCAGTGACAACACACCTCCACAGCTGGCTGAGGAAGCACTGGCCAGGCCTGCTGTGTGCATGTATGTCTGCGTGCTGAAATCCCAGACAAACACCAGGCTGTCCTACCACACTAATTCATGTCACTAACCTGTCCAGCAAGACTTATTGAGCTGAAGGCCCTGTTCTTTCTACTTTCTCCAGGCAAATCATTAATAGCCAGTCCAAAAACTTCACAAAGCCTGAGCAGAAAGGAAATGTTTGCATGTGGTGTTTCAAAACGCTTTACTCCCCTGTCCCAGGGCCCTCCTCCTACAAGGAAGTTTGGGAACTGCTGTGGCTTGGGATATAGAGTAACACATAGCCTAGAGCTGGGATGAACACAAATACCTTTCATGATGCAGGAATACTTATTGAGCTGTAGAATTTGCTTTTAGGCTGTCTTATGAAATTTTCTACACCATGTGAGTGTAGGTGGAACATGAGATACACATTTATAAAGCATGAATCATTAAGTGGTAAGTGAGAGAGTGCTCTTAGTGCATCGGCAGCTGCACATTATTAAGTGCCTTGTAAAGTGCAAGGAGTGGGGATGAAGTCGGAGTGCATCAGGGTTATAGCAGGCACAATTGTCCCCAACTCCCTGGGACATGGGCAGAGCACTTGGATTGCCCTGTTCTTTCTGTGTCTGTCATAAAGGCATCAGAGATTACCCTTTTTCCATTCACCCAGTGTAGGGATGCATGCCAAGAACAGACATGATGCTTCATGAATTTCAGGGGCTTCCAATGGTCTTTTTAGACTTTTCAGTTATTTCATGCAGCCATTGCCAGTGATGTAAGGGACAACACACAGAGTAGGAGCCCTGTGGAACTCTCAAGCTGCTGCTAAGAAAAATGCTAGTTATAAACAAACTCACTTGTTATTCAAATATTGTATTTTCTTTTTACTCTGAAAACTGATTTGAAGAAGACTGCGCCAAGACAATGAACATTCCGCAGGCTTTTCCTGCCCTTTGCAACCATACCAACTAATCTCAAGATTATACATGTTTTTTATGTCTGGATGATTTCACTTCCAGTGAGTGGTGGATGTGCTTTCAAGCACAATGAGGATCTTTGTACAAACATCCTATTGTATCAGTGAAAGCTCCAGACACTATAAACACTGCATGTAACTGTAGGCTGAAAGGAAAATCAAGTCCATAAGCCCAGTGAATGTCTTTGCTTTTGACACAGTTCTTCCACGAAAGTAATAAAAATAAAGCTGAAAAAACATCCAATCTTAAATACCTGGAAATTAAATTCATTATTCTATAAAGTCAGTCAGTCTCCATAGGCAGCTCAAGCCTGAATGTGTCTAGTTTCCATGAGCATTCAGAGATTGCCACATGGGGTTTGTTTGGAAGGCTTATTTTCTTAATTACTCTCACCTCCACAGACCTTAGACGCCACACAGACTATCATCTTAACGCATTACAAGTGGCAAGTCTGGTGGATTGCTCCCACTCCTTCCCCAACACTTTCTTACCTCAACAGAACTATTTGTTGAGCCTCCTGCTGCCGTGTGTCTGCTGTATTGTTTGAACTGTTGCAATCCATCTTGCACAGCCTGTACCACTCCATTTCCCGTCTGTGGGAAACAGCCTTCTCCTGGTAGCAAACGGAGCTCTGAAATGCAGGCTTGAATTCGTGCAAAGTTTTCTTTCACTTGCTGCAAAACAGTATTCAATGAAATTGAAAGGCTGGAAATGTCAAACTGATAATATGAAATATTTTTCCATAGTGTGAAAGAAGGCTTTAAATTCACAGCACCGAGGTAAGACTGGGGCGGGAACCAAGTTATAAAGCAGTGAACAGTGATGTGAATCAAAACCAGCTGTTTGATAGACTTGTAACAACACCCACCATCACTTCTCAAGTTTCAGTTGTCTACCTGCTGCTAGCCACCATGTCCTAGTTCAGCACGCCCCTCTCCTCTGGCCCTGCGTACCACAGAGGTGCAGGACCCGAGACATAAATGGGGGCACGGAGCCATATAAGACCTCTGGGCCTGCTCACCCCCACCAGATCCCTCACCCCCTGAGCTGTGGACCCCTGGATCCTCATTCAGGGGGGTCTGCAGTCAGGCAGCAGCAACAGGTCCAAAAAGAGGTTCCACAAACTCATGGGTAATGGGTGCAGAAGCAGATACCAAGAGGAACAGTCTCAAATGTACCCTCTGTCCCTCTTAACACAACAGCTGTGGAACCAGGGGAGTGTGAACTGCAGTGACTGGGCTGAGCGCCCCCCGCAGAAGAGCTGCTCCTTTTGAGCCTGCACTAATGGATGTTGGTCTCGCTGCTGGACTGGCAATTCTGTGCTCCTATACAGCTCTTCTAGGGCATTCACCACAGTAATGATCAAAAAAGCAGACACTGATGGGAGGTCTGTGGACCCTCCTGCTTCAAAGATGAGCTCCAGAGCAAGTGTTAGAAAGAAAAAAATTATAGCTGTCATTTGCCAAAATGTTTTATTCCTTTAGGCAACAGCTGCCACTGTATAATGGCTGCCCTGAAGACAGCTGGTTTGATTCGTTATGGCAAGATGAACATTATAAATGCACAATTATTAACCCACCGTGCTCCACAATGATATTCAGTGTTAGTCCCATAGATTGCAGGATATTGGGCCCTATTCTCACTGCCTGCTATCGCCATTACCTCCAGATTCTCTGCAGTCCAGGCCTGCTGAACCTTTACATCACATGTTGCTTAGCACTTCCTTGAACTTGGTATCACCTTATAGTGGTCACCTAAATGCACAGAAGGCAGTCTGAAAGTGAACCAGGCTGTCTAGGATCAGGGTAGACCCCTTTCACACTCTTTCTCCAGTCAATATTTTTTAAGGCTACCTGGTATCTACTACCCAGCCATGACCTCCCCTTAGCATAGACGTGACAATGCTAGAGAACACCCAGGATCCAAAGGTGTGTGGAGCATCTCAGCTGGTGTTCACGTAGTTATCAGCTCACCTCAGCTTCAAAAAGAACTCAAAGGAGTTGAGACATACCCAGCAGAGAAACGGGCAAATTCTGGTCATAGGAGAGATTATTAGTGAACTCTACCAAATCTACTTGAAGCAGTATAAGACACTGCTGCCAAAGGTCACCCTCCTCACAGAAGAGGCCACAGCTAACTATGAGTCATTTGCTTCAGATGCTTGGAGCTCTGACTAACCGAACAACACTTGAGCAGCCATGGTTTACAGCATGGTCCTTCAGTGTGACTGAGTTATGAACCAGGGAGCCCAGGCATGTGTCCACAAACAACTCCAACAATCCCAGGAGGCAGCTGCAGCTCAGACAGATGTAAACCAGCTGTCTCGGGTCAAGCATCGCTCCTAACTGTGGCAGAACAGGGCTCAGCATGGGCTGCAGGGCAGCCTGAAGTTTAGTTAAGTACCTGTCCTGTGGAACTGGCACCAGCAGAGTTGCATTTTCTCTTGTATATGCACAGCTACTTTAAATGTTAACTTAGGCGAGTCTATGCAAACTGCAGTTTCCACTCTGGAATGTTCTTGGGACAAGTTAAACTTCTCAGCACAAATTGTGGTGTTTAACTACTACTGACTGCAGCCCCCTTCTGGGTGCTGACACCCAGCCCAGGGTCTGTGACATGTCTCTTCACATGTGACCCTGCTCCTTCACTACCTAACTCCAGGAATTCATGACTTCACACTGTGTCCAGTAAAACATTTAAATCTGCAATACTGCATTGCTTCCACAGAACAGCTCCCAGAGGGAGAGATCACAGCTGGTCACCAGGCAGGGTAGGCACCATGCTCACTGCCCTGTCTGTCTTCCTTCATGTGCTGTACCCTCACACCCACTTCACTTTCTTAATTTGCTAGTCCCTGTAGTTAACATCTTTCTGCCCTTTTTGTTAGTTGGGAGTTGGGGAGGATGGCTGCCCGTCCCAAGGAAAAACCAGTAGCAAGAGGGCCCATCAGCTGGACGTGCTTTTCTCAGAGTCCTTGCTCAGGCCCACATTAAAATTTTCTGACACTTCAATGCTCACTTCCCCTATCATCTGTTGTCCTCCACCATTATTTGCTTCCTAGTTTCTTTTTCTTTGGCACCCCCTGCCCTTTGCAGGAAAGCTCTCTGGACTTGTTGGAGTTAGACCAATAGGGCAGACCAGCAGGAACAGAGACTGTAAACAAGGGCACAGGAAAGACTAAGAAAAGGGTAACCATATATGATACTTCCCCATGTAATCTCTATTTTCAGCTCTGGGCCTTTCCTGACTTTATATGATTTGTCTAATAAGCAACCTTTAATATAGCTTTATCTTGGTTCATTACTGAGAAGTATCAAGTTTTTCTCTATCTAGATCAGAAAGTCAATGTGATGAACAGGATGCCCTGTGGAGGCAAAAGGGCAAATTTGGGAGTACAGAAAAAGCAGTGGAGCGCTGGCATTTCTGAGGAAGGCTGAAGCAGAGCAGATGTTTATCAGCTAGAGATGTAAAACTGCTCCTGATTCCAGAAGCCGCAGAGGACCAGATATCATTATTAGTGAAATTAGGTCCATTGAAGAAGACACTCATCTTGTTATACTTTACTGTGCCTAATAAAGAACAGTTCTGAAAAACAGCCCACAGTACCACAGCTGATGTCTAACAAAAAGAGATGGCTCACCAGGCAGAACACCCAAGCGAAGCTGGGGAGCAGGGCAGCGGGGGCTCACACCAGTGTTGTGCCTATCAACCGGCTACACACTACGGGCTAAAGTCCTTGTGTTGGACAAGTCCCAGAGAAACACAGTACTATGGCAAAAGAGTTGGTGTGATTAGCAGTCAAGCAAACAGGAGGAAAGGTATTTTTTAGCTCTCTGTACAGCATTGCTGAGTCCGGTATTGGAATGTAGCATCCAAAAAAACAGAAGAGGGAATAGACAGAAGGGCTTGGAAGTTATTAAGGGCCTGTAAAAATGCCTTGCAGTTACTTATACTTCGTTCTCTTTCATTTACCAGATATAAGATTAAGAGGGGACCTGTTTATACCTCGAGGAAGAAAGTATAAAATACAAGCAGGTTCTTCAGTGTAGCCAAAAGAGGAAATATATTAACAAATCCCTGGAAGCTAAAGCAAATAAATTCAAATCAGAAACCAGGTGCAAGTTTCACAGTGACAATGATTAACCACTGGAAGAAATTATCAACAGAAGTACTTGACTCTCGATCTCGTAATATCCTCAGATCAAAACTAGATGTCTTTCTGGAGGAAGTGCTTTCATGATATATGGGTACTTTAGTGAAATACAATAGCCTGGAATATGAAGGAAGCCAAACAATGATCTAATGGTTCTTCTGTCTTCAAAAACTGTGATTAGCAAAATGAGGATTTGTTGTTTAAATGAAAAAGATATCTCATGAGCAGAAGATTTATATGATAGGGCAAGTAGAGGGATTGGGCCAAAGCGCAGTTGTGCTCTGGTGACCCATAATTACCAAATGAAATCTGAGGTTGCCATCAGCCAGCACATAATGGATCAGTGTCAGGACATACCTGGCAAATACAAAAGCAGGTATTTGGCCCCACTTACAAATTAAATTGGATGTAACGCAAAATCAGAGAAAACAGGCCTGGAACCAGTTGTGACACAGATTGCTTAGTCCATCCTACAGTGACATGCCAGGATGAATCCCATGTAAATTCATCCTAGGAAGCAAGACAAATGTGTGTTCTTACAGCCCCTAACCAGGGTGATTTCACAGCATCTCCAGAAAAAGTTTCTTTGGCATCCCCTTAGTTATCCTTGTCACATTATCTATAACCTGTTCTACAAAATAAACACCACCATTAGCCACAGTCTTCTTGCAGGTCACATTTGCTAAATGACCGTTGACTTGTGATATTTTTTTTCCCCAGTTGGCCTCTACTTTTCCTGAGATGTGAAAACTTGACACAATATTTCAGAATGTTTTCATTATTGCTGAATAAAGTGGAAGGGTTAATACTGTGTGTTTATGTAGTGTAAATGAGAGTGCTCAGTATGACTGCTCATAATAGTGTAATTTCATAGATTCTCCTGAACTTTATGATGCTTTGTAATCCCAAACTTTTATTGCAGAGCTGCTAGTCATTGTCCATCTATATTTATTCTGCTGCATATCCCTAAATGAGTGAAATACTCATTCTTGCTGACTTTGAGCTATAGATTTAAAAGATGAGTAGATGGGTGCTTAGGTACACGGTTTAGTTAGATTTACAGTTGGACTCAATGATCTTAAGGGCCTTTTCCAACCTAAATGATTCTATCATTTCAGGATATTTCTCAAATTCGGCAAAAATATTTTGAATTCTGATCCTTTCCACTTAAAAGTTTGGAATCTCTACACAAATATTACCACTTTGGGAATCAGCAGGTATACAGACTATTTCACCATCCAAATTATTACAGCTGTAGAGTTGTGTTTGATAATTTTGATAGAGAAGCATTACAGATAGTGCAGAAAGTAGCATATGGAAGGGAGAGGTACAACAGATGTTTTAGAACGGAACAGCACAAAACCTAAATTATGCATTTGATCAACTTCACAGATCAAAAATAAGACACTCCTCCTTTTAAACATCATTATTTCATAAAATGCACCTCTTCCATGAAGTCCATGACACTGTGCTCTTTGAGAATGATGATTTTTCAGATACACATTTGTAGTAAATTACAACTTTCTTTGCTGAACTGCACCAATGTATTGCTCTCATGTCTGTTAGACCCCAAGAAACATAATTTCACACATACCGTGAAGGGAAGCAGACACTCCTGCTGGCTCTGCACCACGTAGAGGCTCAGCAGGGGAACACGGCAGGGGCCTGTCAAACTGCATGCCAAACAGAGCGTGTTTTCCAGAGCTTCAGAAAGTACAGAACAAGTGCTGGTCCAGGAAGGTGATGTGATATCCACAATGACAATCCGTGATGGCTGCTGGCAGTGTACTTTAGTGGCAGGAAATGTTCTCCGTGTTTCTGAGAGTAATCTTCTGGAATTCATGGCTTCTGAACAGGGGTATTAGATGTCCAGTTAAACATTTGCATCTGAATAGGAAAAATGAACAAATAATAGCAATCAGTGAGACTCTCCCTTTCCCATTCTCTTGAAAGCAACCTGACACAGAGCAGAGTAATGAATCAGAGTCCTAGAGCCTTCTCCAAAGCAGTCATTGTCCACACTCCAAGATAAACTCACACAAGGAGAAGGAAAAACCCATACAGTCAGAAAACAAAATGGTTCAACTAAAGAAAGTGCATAGCAGATATACTCTTGCAACTGGAGCAGTTAAAAATGTTAATAGCATAGCCATGCCCAGCCCATGGATGAGCTGTGTGGTGTGCGGTGTGATCCGGCAGCGTGGCTCAGGTGTGTGGCATCAATCTCCCACAGAGGAGTGATCCCAGCAGCAAGACTTTGAACTACTCCTGCTGCAGCAGCCAACTGATTATACCCAAACACCCTAAGGAGAACACAGTCCCCACTCCTTGGTACTCAGTGTGAGACCAGTAGCTGTCATGTCCAAAAAAGGCCAGCATGATGCAGCAAGAAAATATTGCATATACGTAAATTTAACTTTGTGGATGGTGGAGAACTGACCTTTGTTCTTCAGAGTTTCTAGCAGCTGTGGTTTCCTTTCTGCACTGACAAAAGCCTCAAGGAATGCAGCGCTGAGGTTGCCTCAGTACCTCACACTGTTCAAGAACAGGGGAGTGCTGCAAGCCTTAGAAAATCTGTAATGTCAGAAACTCCAACAGAGAGTATTTTCAGCTAAACACCAGCTTTGATTCCCAGAGCTGGCTGGAGGTGCTGGGAATGCTGTGCAGGGAGGTGGCTGTGCCAAACGACGCAGAGATGCCTTAGCGCAGCTCGTGGTGCTGTCAGTGTTGCAGGCGACAGCTTGCCCAAGGAAGGAAAGGGAAGATCAGGGCTCCCCAGCTTCCAGGTCCTGTGGGGGAAGGCAGGTGGTTCTTGGTGCAGAGCCCTGGAGACCCCGGATCCCTCAGGCACATGAACAGAGTGTGTGGTCAGGATACATTTCTCCCACACCCCTCTCTGTGTTTCCTTTCAAATATCCACCCTTTCATCCAGCAGCACCACTTTGCATGTGAAAGGCTTGACTGTTGCTGCTTTCAGAGACATCCCCACAATCTTTTAAGAAAGTTTGACTGTTTCTGTGAAACAGTAAGCAGAGAAGAGTGAGCAGCAAACAGGAGTGTGCTGTCAGGTCTTGTGTTTTTCCTGTGCCTCACGTGTATGAAACAGAGGGAACCACTCAGCCTTGAGCCCAGAGTGAACACCTCGTAGTTTGGGTCAAAGGTTTAGAGGCAAAAGTATCCACATGCACTCACCCTCAGACCCTGAATATGATGCTTGTTCCTCGCCTCCCCAGTTTTCCTTCAATGCATACATCTTAAGCGTAAGAGCCAGCATTTTCCTGATAAAAAAAATCCTTTTTCTTTCTTCATCGTGAACAAAGATCCTGCCTAAAAGCTCCTTTTCACTAAATCTAAACATATCTGCACAAAGCACTCAATGCTGTTTCTAAGTTTATGGGAAAAGCTTCAAAAATATGTCTTGGCCTTCATAACAACAGTAGTACGTAACATACAAGTCTACTTGTGCCCAGAAAAGTGTTTGTGTAATTGCACGTACCCTCTCAATATGAACAAGGATAAATTCTGTCTTTCTACAGCTGTGTAAATCCTCAATAGTCTTAGTGAAAGTCTGAGGTGACCCTGGATTTACCTAGGTGGGCTCTGGTCAGAACCCCGGCCAGCATGCATTCCTTCACTTGAGTGGTATGCTCAGCTGAGACAACTAACTCTTGTATCCTCACCAAGGAGACAAACTACTGTATTTCCTACAGCCTCTAGCACTTTGGAGTAAGAATTTTTGTAAGTCTTGAAAAGATCAAGAAACACGTTTCTATTTGCTTGAAGTATCACCAGAAAAAAACTCTGTATTTCTAGGACGTCAGTGAAAGCAAAACTGAGTGATCACAGATTGAATTTCAAAACTGAGGCTAACATTTCAGAACTGCTGAAAATGTTATATATATACAGATCATGTACATATGTGTAGGTATCTTGCTTTGACTAATAACCTGATATAATTTCACTGGAAAATGAAAAACTGCCAAATATCACTTTAATCAGTGTCTCTTCCAGAGCTTTACAATTTACAGGTGTTTACTAAATTACTTCACTGAATCTTGGAAAATATTTGTCTCTCTGCAGTTTTTGTGATTAGGCTTCATACTACTGAACTCTGCAAGCCCCCAGGGCTTTCTCAAACAAGGAAACAAAATCCATCTGGCAGTCAGAAATGTAAGAGAGTTGGGTCCTTGATGTGTCTTGGTTTTAGAGAGAAAAATGAGCCTGGATTATGAAAAAGATACAGTTTTCTTAAATGTGAATGAATTCTCTCATTCTTGACACTGTACAGGACTATGCTTATTTTAAAATGCTTTTGCAGAAAGGGTCTCTTACCAGCTATGCTCCTTATCAGCTGAATGAATTTAATTTCTTCATAACTGTGGTGTCTTAATTAATCTCTGCTTAGCAATATTCATATGATTTTTCTGTACAATATTTGACATACAGTGTAAACTGCCCACCTCTCTTTCAGCCTACACCAATCACACTTAGCTGTGATGAGGCTGGATAACTGGAGAATTCTGCATAATAGCCTAACTGGTTGCTACGGTAAAATCACATCTTCATTTAAGTAGCAAGTGAACTGCCAGAGAGCCTGGCCTAAGGGATTACACCGTAATTCAGTGTGCATGAGTGAAAACCGTTAGTTCCAGCAGCTGATATGACAGTAACTTATTGCTCAATAAAACAGAATTTACCAACTGTCAGAGCTAGTTGCTAACGGTGATGTACATTCTGCTCAATGCAAGAAGACATACACTTTTCAGAACTATAAAGACAGGGACAGGAAGAAAACTTTGCATTATTGAGTGACTTGTGAGTGCTGATGACATTCTGCAGTTGCCTATTATCCTACATGCTTCATTTGTTCCAGTTATACAAAACCATTAAATAATATCAAAGTCTAAAAAAGCATAAATGAGAAGCAACACCAAAGCCACTGGTTAAAGAACACTAAGGACAGGCTCCATCTTCTTTCTAATACAAGAACCAGCCAAACTTGGATCCAACCTTACTCTAAGTGGGAAGAAAAAAAACCCAAAAATGTGGATAAGAAGTTTAAGTTAAGAATACCTTGCTGGGTAGCTAAGCCCTACAGTCCTACAGCTATGAAGACAACTACTTTGACAGCAGCCTGTTTACAGAGAAGGAGAGAGTAAAACCAAGAAAAAACTGAGATGCGATAATAATGAATACAAACTATTGGCAAGGAAATGCACAGAAAATGGTGAACAAAAAGCACCAACAAATGGTAACAGTTGACAGGTTTATAAAAACTTACTCTGTAAATTATTGAAGAACAAAAGCTAAATACTTCAAAAGAAAAGACAATCTTGAAATAGTATAAATCTGCGATTAGCTTATAAGGATACGATTTTCTGCAGAAAAAGTGTTCAATAAATATTTTGATTTGCCTTTAGAAAAAAGCACTGATAATTAATTATTCTCTTTTCCATTAGTGGTTAGGGTGCATACTAACCTGCAGCTGCTAAGAGTGAGTTTGACATTTCAGAAAGGGGATCTTTGTGCCCAGAAGCTTTTTGAACCATTTGCTGTTAACCTTTAACTCATCTCAGAGCTGTGCAAGTTCCAGAGTAACCATGTTCTTGTTTAAACAAAGAGCATGCAAACCAGTTCAGACAGCGATAGCCTGTCTGTCATAAGGTACATACCAGGCAAATTCATAGAAACAGTGATACAGTGCAGTCAGATTTTAAAAACAGTGGCATAATCACACAAAATAAATCTCATTAATCAATAGATTTTAGTAGGATTATGTATAGGTCTAGGTGGTCAAGACAGGAGCATCAGCAGAGTATAATTTGCCTCTGTGAAGCGTTCAATTTAAACACGCCTGCTTTTAGTCACCATATTACTATAAAAAGCACGAATCCCATCAATTAAGAGTAAGAGCTCATTAATGGAGAAACTGCAGATATCTATAAATGAGGATTATTCAGTAAAATGTTGCCACTGCAGTTATACAGCAATCTATTTTTTACTTAATTAAGTAGAAACCAGATGATACACAAAAATTTACCTCAAGTGTACAGAAGACAGAACACTGACACTGCAAAGAAGAATCGTTTATAAGGGCTTAACACATTTGTTCATCAAACTGGGCTAATCTGTGTACTATGCATTCTAATATAGCCAAATGCAAGTAACCAAAAGAGCAGCAGAGGTAGCCAAAGGTAAGAGCTTATGTCACCTCTAAGTCAGCAAGTCCCCAAACTGCAGGGAGAGGCCAGGAGAGCGGCCTGCAGCAGCATCACTGCAGGCTCATTCTCTTTTGCACTCCCCCAAGCATCTGCTCTGGGACACAAGTTCATGAGGAGACGGATCCTGGGTTTACCCTGTGTCACTATTTTCATGTATTTATCATCTGGAGTTTCAAAGTAGCTGGTTTTAAAACATGCCGTTTTCTGAGTAAGTTTCAAGACCCTGTGAAACATGAATATTCTCATGTGGAAAACAGATCAAGCTGCACAAATGAGTGGGTTTATTAGACAAAAACAGAGCAAGACATGGAGAAGCCTGAGCTGTGAAGTAGCAATGCAGTGTGGATGGCCTCTAGTGTGTAACTTTTTGTCTCCCTAGCCTAGAAAGGAAGGCATTTATTAAAAAAGGTCAGGATGAACAGAAGAATAAAAACAACCAAACAAAAAATGCTGGCATAAAATCAAGCTACCGGAAACAAAATTATCCAAGATCCTACATAATAAAAGACATGACATGGTTTTCTATACACCAGTGCTATAACCAATAATAAATAAGTGGCTTCAGGCTTGTGCTCTTGTTGAGATAAAATCACCAAATCTTAGTAAGAATAGTCACTTTAGCATAGTCTTAAAATCACTCATAACCTTACTTTTTTTTTTTTTTCCTTAAAAGAGGAATTAAAACATTATAGGAGTTTAGAAAAAAAGCATTTTAAAATTCTGAATCACTAAAAATGATGCAGCAAATGGTTGTGAATGCTTATCAATCATTGCGTTGACAGGTAAAGCAAAACAAGGACAAGCTGATGCATAATGCATATGCCCAAGTGCCCCATAGAACAACCAGCCAACTCATAAAACCCATCAAGAATGCTCCGAGGAAAGCCATGTTATCATGAGGGACTTCTGTTTGACTGATGTGTTGGAACTCTCAGAATTAAAACTTTTAGGTATTGTGATATTTTTTTGATGAGATTATATATATGATTAATGAAGCCTCACAGGGCATACACTCTGTCTTGCCTGGCATCTTGATTAAGAAACTAGAATGATATGAAGTCAACATACACATTAAACGGATAAAAACCTGCATAATTCATAAGCCTCAAAACCTAACTGCAGACAGGCAGCCATCACTGAGGGTGCTTTAGTAAGTGCACATGAAATGGTGAGATACATGCACGTATCAGAGCAGACTAGAACTGCCCTCCATGCCAATGCCTTACAGACAGGCCCCCTTTTATTTCCTTCTTTCTGACGCTCCCTGACACAAGGCACCCGGAACCCTCTTCAACGCAATGAAACAGGATGGAGCAAAGGGGGACTGCTATTTCCCTTCCATCACACCTTGAAATACCCTTTAACAATAGCCAGGGCACTTTTCTGAGAGGTACAGTATCTTATGTGAACTCTTCCCCTGAGAACAGCATTGGATCCACACGTTGCACATGCTGAATGTCTCTTCTAGCCATTAATCCAGTGTATGAAATGATTAGTGGCAATAAGCACATCAGCTTCAGTAGAGGAGTGATCTCTTCTTGTTTTTTGAATACAGCAACTTAGTTAATGGAACCAGGAGAGAACTCTGGTATGTGCATCCTCAGTGGAAGCAGCTGCCTCACCATAACCCAGACCTGAGCATTTACATGCCAAAAAGGGCAGGGTTTAAGACACCACTTTCCCTTCTCTACTTTCACACGGCCAGCTGAGGTAATTCTTTGCTCAGGGTTAGAACCCGAAATCTAACACCGTGGTCTGGGTTCTGCTATGATTCTACCCAGGATCTTCCCAGCTCGGACTGAACAGGGTTGCACCTGAACGACCAAGAGCACTGCTGAAATCACAAATGTCAGCCCAAAGCAGCTGGTCTTCTTTCTCCAGCAACACCAAATTCTGCTGTACTGTGGACAGCAAGAGGCCGAATCAGACAGAAATGCTGCAAGAAGGGTTTTGGGAGGGAGGTTTGGAACAGCTGTTCCTCACAAATCTGCCGCAGGGGCAGGCAGAGGCTGGTAGGGAAGGGCAGGAAGACACCCTAGCAGATCCCAAGGCCTGTGTCCTCGCAAGCACACACCAGCCTGTGGCACAGATCCATTCCCCCCGACGCTGCAGCCTCCCTTCCTGTGCAGCTCCCCCACAGTAACACGGAAAACCTCGCAGGAGTTCACGCTGTTTCACAGCACAACTCATGACTAGATTGACAAAGGAAATCCACAGTTCGGCAGGGGACAATGCTGCAGGGAGCAGCCAGCCCCCTCCTCAAACCACTCTCCTCTACCAAATAAAAATTGGTGCCCAGCTCTGGGCAGTCATGTAGCAGGGGGCTGTGTCTCCTTACCACTTCCAAAGCACCTGACACTCTTTTGAGGGCTGCATGTCATGCTGGTGGCCAGCTGCAATTATCTCAAGTGGTTCGATTTCAGGTTACGCTAGAAGCAGTCCCGTGATGTCACGCTGTATTAGGAATAGGGGGACTAGTCAGTGAAACTTTAGCATCACAGTTAGCATGTCACACACTTTCCTTGTTAACTGGCCAAGACTCACTTTTATAGTGGGGGCTTCCCATCCCACTGCTGCTGCTGGCAGGCTGCTCCTAAGCCTCAGTGATGAGAAACCTCCCGGCGACTATCATCCTAAACGTGGTGTCTTGCCATTTTATACCACCGTTCTTGTGCCAGCATTATCCTCTCCTTCTATAAATTTTTTCTGCCTCATTATTTGCACCTTTTATGTATTTGTAGACAAAAATCATATCCCTGCTCAGCTTCACTTTGCCCTTCAAGAGGCATGGTTTTTCTAGCTGCAGCTCATAAAACCGACTCTCCAGTCACCCTTTGCTGTAGCTGCTCCAATTTAAACATTTCTGTACATATCTCACTTCCATTCATATTTTATTCAAGTTACACAAAACATTTGATGGCATCTCACAAATTTATAATGCAGCTGACACTTCCCCATTACTAGTGAATGGCATTTGTCATATATGACACCTGGGAACTCAGATGATA